ATGGCTCCAAGCATTGCTTCAAATGCTAAGAAGACAATGTGGAAGAATGCGTTAAGATTTTCGTCGGTGTGGTAATCAGCCGTTTAGCTCAGTGGCTAGAGCGTCAGGCCGCGAATGCCGAAGACGTGGGTTCGATTCCCACAGCGGCGACAATCTTTTCGCACTTTTTCTACATATTTTAATGTTCAATCTTAAGTGCAAAGATTAGCACTATAAACAATTTAAATTTCTAAAAAAAAAAGCAATGGCGACATCTCTCGTTCGAATTATCGTTGTAAAAACGATATTCGAAGTTGTTTGTATGCTGTAAAGGATATAACAATAGATGGCGCCAAGCATTGCTTCAAATGCTAAGAAGACAATGTGGAAGAATGCGTTAAGATTTTCGTCGGTGTGGTAATCAGCCGTTTAGCTCAGTGGCTAGAGCGTCAGGCCGCGAATGCCGAAGACGTGGGTTCGATTCCCACAGCGGCGACAATCTTTTCGAACTTTTTCTACATATTTTAATGTTCAATCTTAAGTGCAAAGATTAGCACTATAAACAATTTAAATTTCTATCTCCATATTGCCATCTCTGAGTAAAATTTTTGAAAAACTAATTTTAAATTAACTCTTAGTACATTTTAATATGAACAAAATTTTCCACAATGAGCAATATGGATTCACTAAAGGCAGATCGACAACGGATGCGGCGGGTGTCGCACTTGTCAAGCATTTTTATAACGCCTGGGAAAGGTCACAAGATGCAATAGGTGTCTTTTGCGACCTTTCAAAGGCTTTCGACTGTGTAGACCACGAAACCCTCCTTCAAAAGTTAGATTATTATGGCATTCATGACATCGACCTCAATCTCATTGCCTCTTACCTTAATAACAGAATTCAAAAAGTATCTATAAATGATGTAAATTCCACAGGGTCCCCCATGAAAATGGGTGTCCCACAAGGATCAATCTTGGGTCCATTATTATTCTTAGTGTATATAAATGATCTCCCCTTTTATGCCAGTGAGTTATGTGATGTTGTACTGTTTGCTGACGACACACCGCTCATTTTTAAGATTGACCAAAACGTGTCGGATTATGACGACGTGAATAGTGCACTTTCGCGTATCCTCCACTGGTTTACCGTTAATAATATGGTGTTAAATGCTAAAAAAAACTAAATGCCTTCTTTTTACCCTTCCCAGCGTAAGAAGGCGAAGTTTTAGCTTAACATTAAATAGCGTAACCATTAATCCTGTTGAGTCCGCTGTATTCTTGGGAATTACAGTGGATTCAAAGCTCCAATGGAGTCCCCATCTATCATCTCTTGCGAACAGGTTAAGCTCCGCTATTTTTGCAGTTAGGAAGGTTAGGCAGCTATCAGACATCGACACTGCCAGACTTGTTTATTTCAGTTATTTCCACAGCATCTTGTCTTACGGCATTTTGTTGTGGGGTAGTGCATCTGATATAAATTCTATATTTATTCTTCAAAAAAGAGCTGTCCGAGCAATCTATAACATCGGAGCCCGGAATACACTCAGAGACCTTTTTAAAGAGATTAATATACTCACTGTTGCGTCTCAATATATTTATTGTAATATTTTGTATGTTAAAAATAATATTAATAGTTATCTAAAGAATAGTGACAGACATAAACTAAAAACTAGAAATAAGGACAAACTAACTACGCCATTGTTTCGTTTACAAAAATTAAACAGGTCGTTCATGGGGCAAGGTGTGCGCATGTATAATAAAATCCCACAATCGATATTAAGTCTGCCACTTGATGAATTTAAACGAAAAATTAAAAGTAAACTTATGGCTAAAGCCTATTATTCTATTGCCGAATATCTTGACGACGCCAATGTGTGGGGTTAATACTGTTGATATTCACGTAGGCTAAAACAAGACTATTGTACATGTACTATTATATTGTAAACTGATTTTTTTTTAAAAAGAGCAACTGTTGAGTTTCTTTCCGGTTTCTTCTCAACAGAAACTGCTTTCCGAACCGGTGGTAACTTACGAACGTGTTAATTTCTTGTAAAATTTTGACGTTTCATAAAAACGCGCAAGCGTCTATGTGAATAAAGATATTTTATTATTATACCGACCTCATTTGGTTACTGATAGATGACAGTTGCTAACGGAGCGCCTAAAACTGTCTGGAAGTGTTCATGAGATTCTTTATAACCTGCTTCACGACACTATAATGTCGACGATATTTCACGAACATTAACATCGAGACATTAACGAAAGAAATTATGAAAAAAGTAGAAAACATAGAATTTTTTTTTCGTATAAATGTAGAAATAAATATAGGTACCACACCTAAATATACTCATGATTAACATTAGATAACCCATTTCTTGGTTGACGATTCAACTCTTATAAGAGTTGGAAAAAGCGCTTTTGATAATGAAAACTTGTTACTAGGCGAGACGAATAGCTTCTATCGGGGGCTTCGACGGGCTCACAGAAAATAGATGCGACGGTGAAGTGTTTTTCTTTTACATTTAGTGGTAATTACTAACCATCGACTGAAGACCCTTCGCCTTTTCTAAATTATCACGAATAAAAACGTTGAACGGTATTCGACGTACATTCAAGGTTTGCATGTACATATGTACTGCTGTTGCTTTAAATTATTATGCTTTTTCATTTTCGTTTTTTCTATTTCTTCGCGAAATTAAAATGAAACCACTGCGATGTAGGTTGCATTATTCCCACACCGTTACCTCTCTTGCACTGGAAAAATAATTATCTTTTGCTTCAGGTATAAATGAATATTAACGCAATATTACTGTGCTAGAATGGGCATTTTAAAATTCTACAATGTAGGGTCGGAGGCGGATACTTTAGTTAATTCGTAAACTTCATACTATTTTCCTCCCCGGCAACGAGTTAAGACGTTAATTAAAACACTTTGCTCAACTTTTAGTACAGACTTTCTGAAGTACAGCAATCAACTTAATAGCTCAATCAAAGATCAAAACAACCGTACCATATAAAATATTGTACAATTGAGAAACTTTATTAAAATGTTATGTTTTAATTTATTTTTACATTTTTACTTTTCATTATAGATAGCGCCAATGCAAGCGATCTTCATTATTCGTTCTATCCACGTAGAAATTTTAACATAAACTCAGTATATTGGAACTATAATTTTGATGTTCATTCTGACAGTGGTAGTAGTCGATACTGTACTTCACACACTGCACTCCCTAATAACAATTATGAGACAAAACTGGCTGAATAAATTTAAATTAGGGTCCTAAAAATTATGACTGCCTGTTTATATAAAACCGTTTCAGGGAGAAAAGATGCCGTTTTCGTGAATAAAAAAACCTAGCGAGAGGGTTTTAGCTGCGCGCACATATTTGCAGTTTTATAGCTGTCGTTTTTAATATAAATTTAACGCTCTGCGAGCAGTACATACGGCCGCCCATTATTACTGCAACCACTATTCTCTATTTGTAGTAGTTGAACCTTACAGCGCCGGTCAAGCCGAGGGATGTGGCTGAGAAAGTTGTGGCGATATGTCGACATATTACGCGAGACAAATATAAAATGGTGAAATAAGAAAATTGGGGTACTCCGCACCGATACGAGAACTTCAATTAGAGAGACTTTTCCTACCTCAAAGGTTGATAACTCACTTGTTACTCATCTGGCATTGGAAATGCATACTGTCTATAGTGGCATTGATCACCTACCATCAGGTGTCCTGCTTGTTTTTTGATTCGCTTTCAATAAAAGAAATAAACATAAATTTAAAAATCTCTAAGTTACTGTACTATAACATTATGTTGTAAATAATGTGAATATAATGGTATGTTGAAATGATTATAAATTACTTCTTTAGCCCCCTGGCTGCTGGCTATTATATGTTTATCCTGTTCTTTTAAATACTATTTATGAAAACAGTAGACAAAAACAAAAAGGTTACTATTGTAGCCGGTTATACCGTTATGCCCGAGTCATATTCACCTTACTTATAGCAAGAACTATCGAAACCATAATATTTGGTCTAATCTGGCTAAAACAAGGCCGGGCTTTAATTATTTTCTAAGTTTCTGTTTTAAATTAAGAAACGTCAAAAAAACCTAATTTAAAAAAAAAACTATTAAAAGTTAAAGTTTCTTAAAAAAGGTATCGATAAAAAGTGAGAGAAGTTTCTTATGAAATGCTTTAGCTTACATGAAATCATGAAGTTGGTCCCGCACTACGCGTGCTCTACGCTTCGGTTCACTTTAATAAATTGCTTTATTTTTCTGTTCAATGTAATAGAAGTCAGTGTCAGCTTATTCCACATTATTCTCATATAATTAATTAATCCGAACCCACTACTTTTAACTACGACTTTTTTTAGACAGCAAGCAAATTAGTTTCAGAAAAATATGAGAAGTTTAAGGTGAAGTTTTAACCGTTTTTTACTTATGAAAATGTCATTCGCTCTTATTCACGTAAATCATCTATAATTATTATGCTTGTCTAGTTCGCTCCTTTTATTTATGCAGTGCATCGCAAATTGAATAATACACAGATTATACATTTGAAACTTATGCTGTCAAATACATGAACGGCAAACTTTAATTATTAAGAGTTGAGGCAATATAAGAATATACAAAAAGATTTTAAAGTTTTGTAGAAAAAATGGGTGAAACGTTTTTCACCTCAAACTACAAAAACATTCGATCGGCTGGCTTTTATAAGGGTTATTTGGTAAAAGCCAAGTATTAAACGTATGAAACGTATACAATGTCCAATAAAAGATTTACTTATTCTACGCAGTCTACTTCTGGGTAGGCTCAATTTATGTTAGGTCCTAGTATTAAATCCGCAGTACAAAAATGCTGCTTCAAAAGCGACATAGTAAATCAAAGGCTTCACGAGCCTTTGATTTACTATGTGCACTCGTATAAGCTAGGCATATATAATATCAAATACTGTTTCCACATCTGAATCACCTGACATCTTGTTCAAAGGTTCTTGAAAGATCATGCATGCTCAGTGCGGCGGGGACGGCCGGCGTGACGCTGACGCCACGCCACCAGGTGTGACATCCACATCGCGACATGGCCCCGTCAACGTCGCGTCGCCGTCCGCTGTCTGACCGAGCCTTGAGTCAAATCCAATTTTGAAAAGCAGCGCGGCCGAATTTCTACCGTTGCTATTACCACCAAAATGGCAGGTCCCTCGGCCACAGGAAATTCATCGAAAGTCTCCGTGGAACTTTTTTAAGTATATATTGTTTTTTCTTTTGTGTTAATGTGAAAAAGTGGCAAACGAGCTGACGGTTCACCTGATGTAATGTAATATGGTGGGCCCCGGCTACCTCGGGGATGCCACTCGAGAACCTTTCTTCCCGATCGATTATCGGTTCTACGAGCTATATGGTCGGTCAATGTTCTACAAGGTATATGCCTCTTCAGTTATGTCGGTTATCTTTGCTCTAGTTCAAAGTTCCAACTATGAAACTGTCAAATTTAACTTCATCGCTGTCATCCCTAGTACCGTTAGAATTTTGTGGATACGATCATGTAAAAGAAACTTAAAATCAACCCTCTTAGGAACGGAACAAAGGCCCTGTTAGATTAGTGAGGTCCTGTTTTTGCTGACCGTAAATGCAAGATTTACTTAGTCGCTAAGTGTCCTATGGACATACTTGTAGTCTTTAATCTAAATTATCAGTACATGTTGAAGTGCCTAAAGGAGGTGCAACAATCGAATTTCAAAAATCTAATTTTAGAAAAAATCTCAAGAACGGTCGACTTCATGCAGGCAGCAAGTTGTGAAAAAAAAAAAACTTAGTCAATACCATTAACTTCATCATTCACATGTTGTGCCGACCCTACTTAGGGCCAAGAACAGAAAAAGGGAAAAGAAATTTATAGGTTGTCAACTAAGATATAAAAATCTTTAATGAGCACGATGAGAAGTCCAATTATTAGCCAATTGATAAGATGGTTTAAACTAAAAAAAAGTGTCAACTAATTTATCTTTTTTAAAAATATGAAATTAATGAAATAGGTAAAATTGAATATAAAAATTAACAACTGTACTCATAGCATAAAGGCATTATATAAGCCGTAAAAATTAATAACGCATTAATACCAACGATTTTTGTGACAATTAAATCCAGCAAACTCATAGGAATGTATGTTTGACGCCGGCACCGTAATGGATAAAGTTACATTGAGAGCTTTTATCTAATTTATTTTTATTGTTATACGAGGCAGTTGATGGGCCATTTTACACGCTTTGCAGTGGGTTACAATCCAGGGCGCTGAATACGGCATGTCTTATGTTTATGCGCAGTAGTATGTGTCTTATGCTGTCGTATCACTCAATGCCACGTAGTTCTGCAATTGCTCTTTACTTCATCACGTATTTCTGACAGCATTCACGTCATTCATGCGGACGTACCTTCGATTCAGCGTGGATTATTTTTCTTTAAGAGCTATTTCGGTAATTATCTATACTAACAATATTTGTATCTATCCTTCCTAAAGTAAAACTATCAAATTGAATTAAATTTTGAAAAATATCTTTGCTTCCCGTATACTGGTCCCACAAGAAAATCTGAAAAACCAGTCCACAATACTCTTTTTGTTCAGAAGAAAATTATCCATATAAGTAATTTGCAAATTTACTTTGCTGGCTATGAACTAGTTCGATCTCACAATTCTGATGTATTTTAATTTTTAAAAAAGCATACATTTCATCAAAATGAAGTACCTTATCATTATAATGAAAAGTTAACCTCCCAGTTGTTTCTCAATATTGAAATAAGATTATATAGATTTGATAGGTCATACGATTTTAATCATAGTCATAGTTTCATATTCTTACGAATTTAATTTAATTCACACATTGTTAAACGGTTAACAAATGGTTACTTGTAAGTTGACGGAAGACAACTTAACTTGTTAACTAGTCTTTCGTCATTTTTAGAAAGTAACACTTTAAAAGCTCGGGATTCCTACCTCGTTAGGTTCAATTGTTTAAAGAAATTTAATTTTTAAAATTGAAAATTCCAAGGCTTCCCCCGCCCGCCTTTCGCTCGAGGAAAACTATATTGCGTTTTTTATTAAAAATACGAAGTGTTCCAACGAGGGGTAAACGACCACTAAAACGTTATGGTTACTGCGGTGACATTCGCACGGATACCTAACTTATAAAATTGGTAATACGCAACGCAATGGTCGCCCTTCGTCTATAGCCGATAAGTTATTTCGGTAACGCCATTATGAAGTGATATTACGTTTCTAAGGACTAAATTGTTTTATTCTCTCCAGTTATTGTTATATATAATTACAAATATAATTATACAATATAATTCCATTGGGAAGTGGTGGTCGTATCAAATTTTTGAGGGATGTAATTGAATCCCTCTGTAATAGTGTTTTCTTATACGAGTATAGCAAACTTGATTTTGTTATTCATATTCTAATAATTGGTGAATATTAACAAGTTCATTAATTGTCGACTAAAATAAAATCCTGTACACATGATATAAAATTAGTTTTATCATATATTTATTATGGATATTGTAGGTATTAACGTAGGGTAGGAATTAACATTACTTGGATTAAAGCAATATATGTATATTGAAAGAATACTCGTTAACATAACCTATTTAGCTTAGTGAATGATCGCAGAAGAAAATTGATAACGGTGTTAGTTAATTAGTGACTTTGAATTTGTTACGTTCGCCTTTGCGGACTGCTTTCATTAAGTCGGAGTGGTGATGGCGACGTAGTTTTCCATTTAATGTGTTACTTTTATTTCTTAAATTTAATATCTAATTATGTTGACCATCTAACAATGTTGTGTGGAACGGATTGGACTTATTTTGTGGTCTCATATTTCGGTTTGAATTATAAAGTGTTGTAATAAACATTAATAAATTGAAATTAAATGATATTTTAACATTAGTCGAACTTCGAAATATTTTATTAATTCAAACTCTAAGATATTCGCGAATTTGAAATATTTTCTGAAATCAGGATAATTTTAAAAACGAGTCTAGAACACTTAATTATATATAGGTATTATATTATATTTTAAAACTGAAGTATATTGGATCTTTATGTTTTAAAGCTCTTTAGCTCTGCTTTCGCGTGGGAGCCAATATAAAATATAGACTAGGAGAGATATTACTTTGAGGGAGAGCAACAATGTAAGAATTTGTTTAAATTATGAGCAAAACATTCAAAATTTGCAAAACGAAACTGAAAATGCCCTGGAATGAAAACTCTAATCTACAACCTTTTATCTACAATTGAAATAGTCTGCGAACAATTTGTTAAGGACGTGTACGAATATCCAGAGGACCTTTAGTAAAGTTGCTAGTGGAAGGCGTTATTTCAATTTGGTATGTGGCAGTTTGCGGATTGAAATTATTAGTCGATTGTTTGGTTAGCGTGCCATTGTTTCAACAATATTGTTATGTGTATCGACAAGATAACGAGTTTCCTATACAATTTGTAACCTTCGCTCGGTGACGGCAATTGTCGAAGTTCACAATGAGATTTTGCCTCGATAGCAAATAGCGTTCTAGCATAGGATCTTACGTCATCGAAAATTCCACAGACGACATCTATTGAAAAACAATAAAATTCTAATTTTTATCACCATGCATTGCTAACAAAAACAAGTACGAGTTACTCTGCCACTACACGCGCTATTTGCGAGGCTGCAAGCTCAAGTTAGATCTTAAAAAGGCAAACGAAAAATTCATAAAAATTCAGTAGGGGCGCGCGATCGTCCTTTTTCAGTTGCAGCTTTGCCAAAGGGACGATGTGAGAAAGTCTGACAGCAACTTGTTTAAGGAAGTCGATTTAAGTTACGAAGAGGAGAGTGGTATTTTCTATGATGAAAATTTTCTTGACAAAAAAAAACTTTTAATAGTTGTTAGAGGGCTCACGACAGCTATAACTTTTTTAACATTTTAAGAATATGTTTGGAAATAAAATATAAGCAGTAGTTGTGGTTAATTATTGTAAATTTTGCACTCGATTATTATTATTTGTTTTTCATTTTTAAAAACAATATTAACTCGTAGAAGTTAAGTCATAGTAACTAAAACATTCCTAAAATATTTCTTCACAACAAACGAAATTCATTCGTTATCTTACGCTATTGTTGAAATATTCAATAATAAGAATCTTGCTCTGAGTAAAATCTGCAAATTATTCGATTCATCTCAAAAGAAATCCAAACTAAAGAAACGAGAAAGTAATTCAAAGCTTTTATATCTCGTAGCGGGACGCCTTATTGTCTTCGGCGATATATGTATTAAAGCTTGCTTTCTCTTGCGTAAATAAAATCCATTGGAGAAAGAAGTGAACGTTTCGTAGCATGTGCAAGGGGATACGGGGGACTAGGTGTAATGCTTCATGCGAATGTCGGGGACAATGCAAAGTAGATTGAATTGGAAAAAAGTCTCTCCAATAAAATGGCGTCCTTCGGCACCCAAGGGAAGAGGGAAACTCGCTGCGAAGGGTTAACGGTATGAGCACTTTAGACTGGTATGTGCACACTTCTGAATTAAAAACGTGAAAGTAAGACATGGCACATATTTTACAAATTTTTTATAAATTTTGGTTGTTAAGTGTAGTTAAGATACTGCGCTGTTTCAAATAAAGACCCAATAAGATTAATAAAAAAGAGACGAATATTGACTTTCTACGACACCCACAACTCAAATCAAAGTGTAATCCGTATATTAGAGTTCCGTACCCGAAGGGTAAAACGGAACCCTATTACTAAGACTACGCTGTCTGTCTGTCCGTCATTCACCAGGCTGTATCTCATGAACCGTTAGTTGAAATTTTTCAGATGGTGTATTGGTAAATACTAAAAATCAGAATAATAGTACGGAACCCTTCGAGCGCGAGTTCGACTCGCACTAGGGTGGTTTTTTAACGACCGATACAATCAACATCAGACGTATGTCCAATCTAAAGAACCCTCTAGGTAACCAAATATGGTCAGATATTCGTAATAACCCTATATAGAATTATTTTATTTGAATGACCGGTATCGCGACGATTATTCACAATAGTTTTTATAGAAAAAGTTTTCGCATACCTTTTTTCTCTCGGCCGCCTTCTTGTCTAAATACAATGGGACGATTGTTTTCTCGCCTCCACATAACGGTTGGTGGTGGTACGCCCGTTGCACTGCAAGTGAGGCGGACACTGCCTCCCTCCCTTGCTGAACTGCCCTCAGTCACAGTGTCCACTATATCTGGCGGGATCACCACGGATAAGTGGCCCATCTGTTTCGAATACAGATAAACTTCATTAGCACTCGTGTTACCATAAAGTATTTTAAATAGAGATGTTTAAACCGCTCAAATATAAAATTTACGGAGGAAAGGAATAAATTTTCACATGTGGTAAAAAATACCAAAATAAATGAAAATCTTGGTCTTCTTAGTTGTTGTACGTTTTGATAAATAACAGAACCATTAAATATTTTTACCTGATTAAGAAAAATTAAATCACCATACGGTAACAAAAATGATAAGGCAAATACAAAAAGTCCAATAGTATAAAGTTGCAGTGAAAAGAAACAAAAATTTTACATTTCCACATACATAAATAGCAGGTATAAAAAAAAACGTAGTTGCTAAATTCTTATCTATAATATTGTATGTTAAAACGGAAGTATGTCGTTCAAAGTAACGTAGTATATTATTAACCAGTAATATACCTACTTTGTTCTTGTTTGAAAAAACATTGCCCTTACTTTAGGATAACATTATCCTGTGTTGTAAGGACGTTTTACAAACATAAATTTTACGCGGACAAACACTCAGATGCGATACAACTATCTTTCGGTCACACAAATTGTTGTCTCGTGTGGGAATCGAACCCATGATCCCCGACGCCGAAGCCAATACCTTGGTAACTACGCCACGGAGTCACCTACTTATTAATCTACAATAAGAAAAGAGGAAATAAAATATGTATGAACAACGAATAAAAGTTAAGTTTTACCTGACTCTTCATCGGGTCCGTGTTTACTTGGCACATGTAAGTACCGGAATCATTCGCCTGCACATTACTAACGTGCAATTTCCAAGTGTTGTGGTTGTTATAGGTTACGGAGAGTCGAGGGTTCAACGCCACCATGTTAGTGTGGATTGCCAATATCGCTTTCGAGTCTGATTTTATCCACGCTACCTATGGAAAAACATACAAAATAAATTTATGGTGCTTATGTTTTTTATCAGTTTGCAAAATATTTCAAGTTAGTAATTATTTAGATTTTATATCAGAACATGTCATCTAATGTTAGTTGAAGCTTTTGCAAATTGACAGTCAATTCCTTCATAGTTTAGATGTAGTTTAAGGATTTAAAACAAAACTATGGTGAAAAGTGTGTTATGCAAAAATATAGTTTATTTGATGTAAATATCTTATTACCAAGTAGCAATAATGATTCAAAATAATTTCATTTATTATAAACATGTACATGCAGGTACTCGTATTCTACCACTCGTGAACACTCTTATGAAATACTACACAAAAACACTCGTTAGGAATTTCGAAAGTACGGTGAGCGTTGTTAACGTTGTTTAAAGTGATTTTAATGTTTTTGAGTGGTTTTACAGCTCGTAAACGTTGTAACATGAAACTTAATTTTATTCACTGTGATATTAACGCTGTAGATTTCAGCAATGCAATTTTCCGTCCTTTTAGAAGAATATTTATAAAACGAAATTCTGCATACCACTGAAATGAGGATCAAAGTCAAAGTCAAAATTTCTTTGTCCCACGTACGATTATTTTATACTCTTATTGAACGTCAAAAAACTGCTGCCATGTATTATACAAACGGATCACTCATCACAAATTAAAGATGTATTTAATAAGTTTATCGTCACCATCTCATTACTCAATAATGTTTGTCAATAATAGTTGTATTTTACATTTTCTTTAAATATACATAGTTATAATAGTTTTAAAACAAACAAAAAACGGAAAGACAATAAATTGTTGTTGCAAAATGATCACTGTGTTACCTTTTTCTCGGTTTCATCAAACAAAGCATTCACCTTTTTGTTCAGTGCTTAAAATTAAAAAATTTAGTGCCAGCGAACATTCCCCGAGCGCTCTTAAAGGTTTAACGTCGTTTGTTTCGTATACATTAACAACGAAACTAAACGCGACTTAAATGTTGTAATTGTAGCGGGTCGTAGGCAAAAGTGGGGATGCGACACGTGGAATTGTAGAGTTTCATCCGAGGAATGTGCGAAGTCTCATCCCGAGCGCTTTCGCGCAATTTTTCATGCGACATCCCGCTTTGTTGCGGTTGGAAAATAAATTACTAACAATTTCATTGTTTGCGAGAATTATTTCCGACGAACGCTCGCACGTGAGCTAGCGTTTGCCAGACACTACTAGGCGGAAACGTTGTGACCCATTATTAACGTTTTGTGCTTAGGATTATGTTTGTTAGTTTTTGTTTTAAATACAAAGTATTTCGAATACCGGTAATGCGTAGCTCGTTGCTTTAATTACAAAGGATTGAAATTGTGGAAGCTCGGCTGGGCTGCGTTCGGGAAATTGCGCAGCGTCTTTACGTCCAAAATACCACAGTCCTTAAAGACGAAAGTCTTTGGTGCCGAGACGTGGTCTCTCACTATGAGCCTCATAAGGAAGCTCGCGGTCGCACAGCGCGCTATGGAAAGGGTAATGCTTGGGGTTTCTCTACGAGATCGAATCAGAAATGAGGAGATCCGTAGAAGAACTAGAGTTACCGACATAGCAGAGCGAGTCAGCAGGCTGAAGTGGCAGTGGGCAGGGCATATAGCTCGAAGAACCGATGGCCGTTGGGGCAAAAAGGTTCTCGAGTGGAGACCACGTGATGGCAACCGCAGCGTAGGAAGGCCTCCCACAAGGTGGACGGACGACCTAGCCAAGATCGCAGGGACGCGTTGGATGCCGCTAACGACCGGTCGAAGTGGAAGTCAATGGGGGAGGCCTATGTTCAGCAGTGGGCGTCCTACGGCTGATATGATGAAATTGTGGAATTTGTTTAAAGATTGTGATAAGGTTTGAAAATCTCAAAGAAAATTTTAAAAAGTCTCTTATATCATTAATAATGGAACAATATACAAGAACCGGTTAAAAATTAATGTATATAACAAAGTATAGGATAGTAAACAATTTGTAGGCTATTCAACTGCTTTCAATCATTTCAATATGGCATGCTAAGCAACTCACAAAATACTTGTTTTTTTTTTAAGCGAAAAGTTATCAAACGAGCAGATGGTTCACCTGATGTTAAGTGAATACCGCCGCCCATGGACATCTGCCATACCCGAGGGTTACTGATGCCTTGACAACCTTTTGAAAATTGGGCTCCGGCTACCTCACTCACCAGACGAAACGCGAAAGTATTTGTCATACTTCCACTTTACGCTGGTCTTCTATGAGGTCGTTTTAAAAGAGGATTTAATTTAACACTTTGTTCACTATTGAAATTAAATTTCAAACAACAGATTCTAATTTAAACCAATCCTATCTTCATATTTTATGAAAAATGAATGTAGCTGAGAATAATTTGAATAATTCATTAACTTCGACAACATTTACTCTCCGCCTATAAATTATTACCTTAACTAACTTAATAGAGCTCCAATTTTTCTATCGTGTCCGTAATTACTTTTTTTTTAATTCTTAGATTATTGACAGTTACATCAGATACTTAAAAAGACATTATTGATGGCCGATACGAATGTTTGTTGTATCCTAGTAAAGTGCTAAATAATGTTTTTAAAACTTACATCGATTAAGATATTGATAATAGAAAGAAAAAATCAAATGAACCGAAAAACTATAATGATTAGGAATTAAAATGTTACCAGACATGAATGAACATTTATTGCACAATTGGTTTAAAATGGAATAGTTCTTTCTATACAAGAAGGGAAGTTAAATTATAAAGATTTACATGGAAGTCATTTATTTTATTAATATAAATTTAAAGTGCTAATAAAGTATAACTGAACTTATAAAATAAAAAGAAATATGACGGAATAGGATTTACAAGTACAAGTAAATTGCTACAAAGAATATATCGCGATTCTGCAAAATAAATTATCTCTTTTGCTGCAATTTCTGAAATGAAAGATGTAGCTATTTCTACTTTGCTCACTGACAACATTTTAAACCACAGAAAATTCTTACTGTAGTGGGTATATGAGTTTATAATTCATGAGATTATGTCCCGTTTTTACATTTTTATTAATGCTTTGCAGTATTATGAAAAGACATATTTTATTGTTGTATCTTAATTTCTGTATGACGACTTATCGTTTTTCAACTTGTGATTATAACGGCAAAAACTATTTTTTATTTTTATTTTTCTATAAAATGATTTTTTGCATTATTTATTGGAGTAAATTTTATTTATTTACAAAGAATAATACAAAAGCCTCGGTGACCACGGAGTAACTGCCTTGTTTCTTGTTTGACATATAGGCGTCTAATCGATAGTGTCCAATTCGCGTAGTGAAAATAACACTAATTAGAATGCTGCCGTTGCAAAGCGCGACACGTGGAAATAATATTAAAATAAAAAGATCTATTTACCATACTAGATAAGAAAAGGTGCCATATGAGTTTCTAAACTAGTTTCAAAGCGCCAACGCTTACATGTTTTTATCAAGAATATTTACAACATTTGGCGAAAGCAGTATTTTGTAAACAAAATCTTAAGGAAATATTTAACATGCTTATATTATTTATTCACAATTACAATTTGTGTTTGTCACAATACAATTTTTGCTGTATGTGTACTGTGCAGTGTACGAATGTACCGTGCACACAAGTATACAATCACGGAAGGAGCGAGCGGGACACTTCATTAAGTGTGATGAGACCTGTGCCATATATATATATATATATATATATATATATATATTTCGTATATCCCATATTTTACATTTTAGTGTACCGTTTCATTGTGTTAATGTCTAAGGCATTAATTTAGGCTAAAAATATTTCTTTGCAATTCATTATCTTGGGAGGAAAAATAAAAAAAATATAGTACTACTCCCAGAGCTAGTAAAATATAAAAACTTAATTCGAAATAGTCAGTGAGAATTAACAAAGAGTAATTGTAAGTCTCAGAGTGAAATTGTTTTGTCTAATTCTAATTATTTTGAGCGCGTAAATTTATAACGGCCGATTAAAGAGAATTAATTACAGTAGCAAGCGGTAGGGCTTGATGAATAAGCGACGTTAGTTATCAGAATTTTTGGTCCATCATTCTTTTGGGCTTGAGTTATGCAGGCTTTAGACGCGGTGCCCCAGGCGCTCGTTAAAATTGTACGTGTTTGCGGAACAATTCATACTACTCAGATAGCTTGCTCGACCGAGCTTACGATGTAACTAATATTCGAACTTACTCTCATTTGCATACTGTAATAAAAATCTAACTTACCCCGTCAGTAAAGTCTGGGTTTATTTATAGTATAGGCTGAAGGGCGTTTAAAACCTTAGTACCTGGAGGACCGAGCTTTGCTCGGTTTTTTTTTTTGGTAAATCGTGTATTTTGGAAATTACTTTTAGATACAAATTAATAAGTAATGAAATATGCATAATATGTTTCGACCTTACCGACGTAATAATAAGAAAGTATGAACTGGTTTCACAAAAGAAAAAACTTAAAAAAAATGGGAAAAAAATAACACAATAAAACCTCGACAAAAAATAAAAGATAAAGAAAGCAATGATCTGGAATCAATACCGACCGAGCTATTATAACAGTTTTTTTTTTCGGTGAAATTTACCGTCGTATTCGAATGATATTTTTCATTCCCTGAAAACTGGGATAAAATGACATTTTCTAAAAATGAAACCTAGTCAGATCGATTTTTCGCCCCCAAATCTACGCACATAAAGGAGGAGCACCTCTCCCTATCTTCTACTACCGAGAAGGAGTCACGGGGGAAGAGGAGTGTCGGTATTGTGTTTGGCCGCGCTCCCTATCCTCCGCGACTCAGCGGGGCTGCATTGCTGATGCTGTCGTGGTGGTACTGCGGTGCGCTGTTCTCCCTATCCTCCGCAGCCGGAACGCCGTGAGCGGTGGAGCCACATACCAGGTCTGGCGCTGCGGACTGGGAGGCTTGCTGCTTATTGGTGCTGGCTCTCCGGCTACCATGGCCTCTTGC